GTACATTGAAGCATGCCAAACAGAATGAAGATGGATGCCGAAATATTAAAGTGTAATCACTGATTTTTCAAGTATTGTCGAATTGGATGAGGGAGTGTTTGATTGTGCCCACACTTACGAATCACACCGCCGGCCATTTCTAACAATGTCATATAGATGTCAAACACATATCAGTTAAATAGACACTGTCATAAAATAGGTAGGGGGATATAACGCCTAAAACATTAGGCTACATAAAACATACATCCAGAAGCTCTTGAAAGGTTACGTGAAGTTGTCACCAGGCATCAAAACAAAAGTCGGGGTGAGCCTCAAAATATGAAAAAATAAACTTCACTAGAAGAAAGGTATTTGCGAAGTAATCTCAAACAAGTTCGTGGCAGCAATTTAATGATATTATTTTTATAAAGATGTTGGCTACGTGACTGATAAACATAAAGGAACTGTCTAGGCGATCTAGGTTGTAGAGGGACGTGGGAGGCATATTCACACCGATAAATGACCATATTAAACTAAGAGTTCATGGTCACTGTAAACACCGTCTCCATCGTCAAGAGAATATGTTGAAATGTAAAGCCCAATGTTTTAATTATTGTGACCGAACTCCGGGTGAAGATGAAGTCGAAAATTTACTTTAAACACCACGTCATCACTCAGTTAGTTGCTATTGCAGCCAAAGCTTCACCCATACTTCAGAGAGGTTGGCTACATTGTGTACGTTGAATATAATGCGCGGTGCAAGCAGCCACCATTTTCACACAATTAAACCAATTGCCCGGTAGAGACATTGTTGGTGAGGAACCAAATTCGTGTACAGAAAGTTTATTTACACGGCACAGTCGGTGACGAAATAAGTGGTTGCAAATTTGTCAATACTCGAATGTACTGACCAAGGGAAAAGGTATTATTTTCGAACTGAGGAGTATAAACTTGTGTTTTGCACTAAATAAATTGATATGTAGATTTGCTACATCATTAATCAACAATAACTGTGTTCAGTTTGCTATTCTTCCTATTGCTTATGGATGTAAATGTATAGACCGAAACTCGTCACATCTAGACTCACTCAGACAGCCGCCATAGGCTTGGAAAGCACTGTACGCGCGTTGCATCATTTCGGGAATCGTCAGCAGTGCGCATTCCACCGTACCCTGGTAGGGCTCCAACCCGCAACTCCACTGTTGCCAGTCCGTGATTGAGACCACTGAGCCCCGGGAGACGGTAACGAGCATCTTGAATAAGTTACAAGATGTGAAATAGCGCTGCTCACTACCCACTGACTTATACGTTACTGCCGTGCAGAGGACAGGGTGGCCCCCCTCACCAAGCGACAAATAATATAAATAAAACATTGAATCGCCAGCTGTACGCCGTAACGGTGCTTCGCTGCAACGCGACCATCACCAGTCGTGTGTGGGCTGAGTATACAGCGAGGATGCCCGCCCCTACGCGGATTCGAACCGGTGACCTTATGTTTGCAAACCAGACGCGAATACCACTAGGCCACCTGCCGAAACTAAGCGAAGAGCTTACCCAACTTAAGCCGCCAATTAACTTATGATATTATAAGCAGCTTGGTCTGCGTTCTGATTACAGAAGAGTAGTAGGGGGGTTGCCATAATTTAATTGACAGCTTAAGCTTGGTAATCTCATCGCTTGGTGAGGGGGCTACCCTGTCCTCTACATCGCAGTAACGTGTAAGTCAGTGGAGAGTGAACGGCGCCATATCACATCTAGTAACTTATTCACCATGGTCGTTGCCGTCCCCCGTAGCTCAGTGGTCTCAGTCACGGGCTGGCAACAGAGGAGTTGCGGGTTGGAGCCCTATCAGGGTCCGGTGGAATGGGCACTGCTGATGATTCCCAAAAAGGATGAAACGCGCGTACAGTGCTTTTCCAAGCCTGTGGCGGGTGTCTGAGCCTGTCTAGATGTGAAGAATTTCTACCTATACCATTCAACTCTCCCTACTACTCTTCTGGAAGGTAGACATGTGGATTGCCTAACTACATAGTGTCTACTTAGAAAAGGCGAGCATTGTCAATTCGTGACTCAGGACGAATTCGTATTCCGTGCAGCTCTCATCATGCGCGGAACAAAAGCTATATTAAGGTTATATGGACAACGTTGGGGTAAATAAAATGAGTCCAGTTCTAAAGACCATATAGTTTACGTCGTGGAACCTCAGTGACATTGACCAAACACACCATTTCACCATATTACTTACCAGTATATTGCCATCTGTCGGAAGTTATTGCTAAGTTAGTATATCAGTTACCCTACGTTTTCATAAACGCGCATAAGAAGTACATTATTACGCAAAAGTAGACTACAGTTAACCGTGCTCGCGCATGATTATCATACAACAACGGGCGGGTATGAACAGATAGGGACACTGCAAACGTGCGGGAATTTGTCCATGTGGGAGGGTTGCAATCCAAGTAAGTCCCGACCTATATCAGTAGCTTCTAGATTCCGGTAGCTTTGGATGACAGTAGCAGGACTAGGAAACTAAGGAAGCGTTTCGATGTAGTTTGACTGCATCTCAGAAAAAGCACCAGCAATACGCAAGTGCACCGTACCGACGCTCCGCTGCACCACAAGCACCAAGTGCAGAGCGTGGGCTAAGTATATCGCGTAGTCTTTGGCACTAAAGGGGATTCGAGCCAGGGAACTCCGGATTAAAAGCAAATGCGTAATCCTTTTGGCCACCGGCCAAATCCTTTCATTGGTTAGGTTCCTCACTTCCTAGCTGGATTCAGCCAGAGGATTTGTGCAAAGAGGTCATCCACCATGTACAAACCATCAAAATTTCACTACTGTCAAATAAAGATGTAAATGCATTCAACGTTTCAGCTGTGCTTGAAATTGATACTTTCACGACTGCTACTATCAAGGTAAATGATAATTCTACGTGTCATGTGAAAGGCACTCATTCCGCCATAGGGGGCAACATGTAGTTAAGAACATAGTTCTCCCGTAACTATCATGTTCTAGAGCAGGTCGATAAAAGTTATCTTTTAAAACTATGGCCCTGCTCAAGCGGGTTAGCTTTCATATTTATTCGTAAATGTTATTCTCGGCACCAGTTCTGATGCTCATCAATCAGGTGCCAACCACTTTACTACTGAATGCGGAATAATGTTAACCATTGCTGAAGAGATTCCAGGTGCGCAACCTTGGCGAACGGGGTGGGCTTAAACATGGGACAGAGAACTCACCAACAACATCTTTGTTAGCCCCTAACATCCCGGTTTCTTTAAGCCCGATACCGTTTGGTTACACTGTAGTCAAGCTACTTTGTTGTCAGCTCACATTATGGTTATATTTCATGAGGTTTATGATGAATATGGAGTGTGTAACTGCATTCATGGACGGTGTCGCACGGTACACCCTTGCGTATTCACTAAAAATATGCATCCTGTAAATTACCGTATCGCCAGGGTTGCTAAAAGTCAGGAAACAGATGGCGTCAAGATGGTCGGCTGAAAACGTCTTATGCTTGATTTAGTGTCCAAGTATCTTCCCCAGCCTAAGTTAAATTAAATTGATTTAATTTGTGCAACCTATCAAAGCATTATTTTATCCAATTCATTTGTTTGCTCTTGAAACTTTAGCACTAACAAACTGTATGGATAAGTACTGTGAATAACCATGATAACATAAACGTGAAGAAGGAGAAGAAGCATTTAAAGGGAACATAGTGTAAAGCCCAGCAGCTATGAGCAGATATCCAGTCAGTGGTCTGCCTCCCGTAGTCCAGTGATCCTAACCACGCGTTGCGGATTTGAACTTCACAGAGGCCAGATAGGATGCTCGCTGCTGGCATTACATGAAATCTAGAACGGCCGCAGACTCATTATAAGTGACCTCACGACATTGCTGTCTTCAGGTTTTTACTTTTCGCCGATAATCTGAAGATATGACGTGCTATCAATACACTGGGAGACCACAACGCCCTGTAACTTTAACTGGATATAGCTTACACAAGGTCCACCGAAAACAAGTTTTATTCTAACGGAACCAGATGCAAATCTCTGCAAATGAGGCATCAGAGCACCCAGGACTATCAACTACGAGCAAAAATTTTGCAATGCGCTTTTCATGAGCGCGATCTTAGCATGCTAGTGCGGGATAACTTTGGCTGTTTGAGGCAAACCGAAAAAGCATTTCGGCCTCTTGCGTAGGGCCTTCTGACCTTTCCGCAAATGCTTGGCACGTACTTTTGGTCGCACGTGGAATAAGCTATCCAAGCGTGGCAGCCCTAGCTTAAGCACCAACTCCTGGCGATCGAGATTACACAGCACATGTGACAATGGAACTCAATGGCTTAGCCCATTTTCCTTAATAAAGGCTGAAAAAGCTAGCAGTGTACAACGGACGTTATCGGCGTCTAAGGAGCAATCTCAACGGTGTATGATATCATAAAATACCCAGCCACGCTTACCACTATGCATTTAGATTTAGCCAGAATACGTCTTTAAACGACCATCAGTGTGACCTAACCATGCAATACAATCGACTGGAAAGTCGACTAAATGTTTTCTTCCCCCAAGCGTTACGGCCCTAGGACAACTTTCTAGCGCATCTAATTATTGCCTCAACCTTATCATTAGGCGAAAGACAACTGGATGACACACTGATACACTTAGCTTCAGTGACATATCCCGTCATCAACAAATGACTGCTGCCGTCCGTTCAACCTACTTACACGGTTCTGAAACATGGCCCATCAGGTCTATAGACATAAATAGGCTAGCGACGTTCTGTCACATCTGCCTTCGCACCTTAGCTCATGTCTCGTGGCAGTATTGAGTGAGCAATGTGCGCCTTCGGCGTCACGTATTTGGTGCAGGAAGAGTGAGTGAACCGCTCAGCGCCGTTATTTCACCCAAGAGGCTCAGATGACTGAGCCACGTAGTGCGCATGCCAGCCTACAGACTCCTGTGTTGTGTTATTTGCGCGCCGGGGGTGTGGGTGGAAGAAGATGAAGGGAGACTCACCGATGACTTGGTAGAGAGAAATGAAGTCCTTCACTTCGAACATGGCGTCGGTTGGTGCATCCCAACTGTCTGGCTGGAGTCCTAAGGATGATTAACACGTTTGTTTAGACACACTAGTTGATTTGGTGAAAAGCCGACCTCTATGGCGTGGGTGTTGTGAGTCTCTTTGTCCACCTCTTCTCCTTTATATTCCCTCTCCAATCACGATCTCATATCTAATATGTGATACAATATATAACATTATATTACTCACTTCTTGGGATTTTTGTACTTTGTTGCTTTGTATTGCGGCACATTAGCTGAGGTGTGGTTCTCACCCTCAGCAGTGTGTTGGTGATGCTGATGACGATGATTTGCTGGGTATAAACAGTGGACTGTATCAAATTCTCCATTAGATCCAAACAGAAGTCATACGTGTTACATCAAAGCCATGGTGAGATATGTAACTTGGGCATTGTTTTATCCACACTGTTTTCATCTTGAGAAATCTCACCTTAAACATCCTACGGGACTTGTAAAAACGTTCGTTTATTTTACCCCTTATAAATCCTTGTACTAATTAATGTATGTATCGCTCCATAGACAAAGAGCTCAAATATTTAAAGGCGCCTCATATTCTCAGACAGACTAGGTCAGCAAGGGAATCACCACAATGCTACCTTTGCTTACACCAGGACCGACGAGACGCTATAGGAGGGAACGATCGTCTAGTGCTTTTTCTCATGAAAGTGAACATGAATGTTTAAGTTAACTGCAGTGAAAAATTTGTGAACTGCGCACAGATTCAACCATTTCTGTCTAGGCACCAATGTTGGGGCTTTCCTCTTCCGATCACCATGGTGAATACAGTAAGTACATGAAGTGTTTCTTCTCATGGATTATAATTATGTCCATGGCATTATGTGGCGGACCGATTGCGGTGCTATTGTTGACAAGGTGTCTACACGTCCAAAGGTCCTACTTTAAATGTCGGATTCTGGTAGCAGTCCTGCGGTGAGAGTTGATGCCCACAAGTTTACCTAAGCTTCTCCAGTAGTTGTTTTACCAAAACAAGGACTAAAGTCTAGTTAACGCACCGTCGAGCCTGGTAGGGGAGCCTACATTATGTCAGCTCCCTGAGTGACCAGCGAGTGTTGATCCTGGATGAGGCTAAAGGTACTCAAAGAGCAGGTAGATGTCACTAAGATACAGTTTACTGCAACAGCCATAGGATTCGAACTCACAACTAGACTGGTTTGATGTGCGTAAGTATACGGGAATACTTATACAAAATGCATGTTTCCACGTCCACGGGTTAGGCTTTACACCGGAAAAGGGTTGTGGACATAGGTATGCGCTGATTACCGAGATATATCCATAACCACAAGGTAATTACTACTTCATTTGTCCTAGTGAAGTACTAGTGACTGGTACTGTCATCTATGTTGTTTATGCGTGTAGTCAGCAGATCAGGACTTCTACTTACACATTAATAGTGGCGCGGTGCTGTGTTAGTTGGAATCCTTTTAATATAACGGAACTGGATTTAGGACAACAACAAAATTGACGACCTGGATGTCACAACAAGCTTAGTTAACAGTTTTCGAGTACTCAACAAATGATATCCCCTCTACAGCAGTACATAAGTTACAAAGTTCATCTACAATAAAATTAGTGTATGGGGCATTTTAAGATGGAAAATCGTTTGGACTCATATTTGGTAAGAGTTAGAGGAACTTTGGGAGGGTGTCTATAAGGTTATCCACCTTATTCACAATGTCAAGATGACCGTTACTCCCTTGCGCACAGCGAAATCTAGAGTAACTGCAGCGCTTTTGTGTAACAAGGGAGTGTATTATCACCATGGGTACTCTACCCTGTACTCTTATTGCAACTAAAAGCTGAAGGATTAACAAAAATATATATTAGTAATTAGCGCATTCACGAAAGCATTAGCATATGTAGTGCTGATGCCAGGGAAAGGCCAAGTGCAGCATTTGACGCAAACTACGGCTAATGTACACGAGCTTCTATCTTCTTTACTGAATTCCATTTCACGCGATAAGAACTAAGGGAGCGAGGTGATACCAACGTCAATCTTCTCTCTTTAGTTTGCATCCCTGGATCTAAGTTAAGCCTCATGCGAATATTATATGGCTACAATGCTCGAATAATACTACTACTTTCAGGGAAGGGATGGGTAATCTTCCGAATGTGATACTGTAATTTTGTCTGAGTCATCGATTGGGTATCGGATTGGACACACAAAGCAAGCATACCCGAGGAAAAAAGAGAAACCGATCAATATGCAAAGTGATTGACAGCAATCGATATGTGTTTAACCAGGGAAATTCGACCGCATTCTCTACTTGGCCAATATGTTCATTGACAGTCAGATAAAAGATGTAGAAAAACTGTTACACTTAGCATGTCCCCAGAAGGTTAGTCTACTCACCGGGGATTGGGGTGGCTCCAATTGAATCCCCACTCGCAGTGGTGTGTGAAGTACCCAATCGCGAACTGTGAAAATAAAATCAGAAATAGCAGCTTTAAAAATATTTAACGGCATAACATTGCATCAATTGTAAAGCGACATGAATACGTTAAGGCCACAATGTTGACAGCTTGATAATTAACAGAAACGCACTATTATCAATAAACCTATGTAGACTCATCTGCTTGTTCCTGCTTGTAATTTGCTGGTTACAGAACTAACCGGGAAGAGTCACCCAACCTCCTAATACTCACTCAACACCATCGCATTCTCAGGCTATTGGAAACCATCGCGGTGGATTGAGAGTGATCATTGGTGGGCGCACAGAAATAGCTGACGGTAAATCTGAACTTATCATTTTAGCACTACGTGAATTGATTATCTACCCAAAGATCTCAGATAAAATTTCTTGTTGCAATCGTATTGACCGCATATCTGCGATTGATAAGTATATGAATAGTGCCTAGTTGCATTTCAGCGTGGAATTTCTGTTTTCAAGGTTCGCATCCTCAGGGGTGACTAAAGGTTTTTCACTAGAATATCGCAAGTTGGAATTGAGAAGCACAAGTTAACTGGTGGAAGAATCCAGAGGAGTTCGTCGTCAGTCAACTGTGCTGTCTAGCTATTGCCATACGTCCAGCTACTGTAGTTCTTGTAATCTAAGCAAATTTTTCACCCGCAACATTTCAAAACCTAGCGTCTCTGACCACTATTCTAACTACTGCTTTGTCCTGTCCTGCAGGACAACTAACATCTTCAGTTTACATGTCCACCTCATCAGCTGGGGACCTCAGCGTATCCTCAACAATAATCGTGTGTGCAAGGAAAGCGCACCTATGTAATTAGTCCAGCAAGTTACAAACAAACAAATTAGCTGATACAGTGCATCTGCACATAGTAGCGTAGCACGTACGCACGGTCAGAAGGCTTGCAAAATCAAGCCAGCAAGCAAACATGGCGAATGATAATGCCTAAAAGCGGACAGCGATATGTTGGTAACTGTGTCCCAAGACAACAGGTGACGAATTCGCACTGGTTCACTGGTTCATGGTATTTGCTCCAGCCCCTCTGCATAGGACGTGGAGGTTATGCACTGAAGACCCGGTGAGTTATACCGTCCAGGTGTGGGTATAATTTTAACATGACCTAACCAACTCATCCACCAACTGCATGACTAAAGATGATTTTATGATGGTCGGCAATACCTTAGCTATCGTACAACCTGAGTCGATTCCCTAATTTCCCTATTCTTATCCTTTCCAAATGCGCAATTCCCGCTGCACCCTGTTTTCGATCGTTTACCTGTCTGAATCCCAACTACTCAATTGGGCATCCACAAAAGAAACACCATGCGCAATCAGGTGGCACAACAAAAACCGCTTAAGATAGCGCAACATCCTACATGAGACTTACCTTTGTCGCCATGGAGCTACAGGTCTTTGTGAAATGCTGATAGGCTAGTCAGGCAAGTAGCACAGGAAGTCTGTCAAGATGAGAAATAAGTTGTTTAGACAGGTTTGGATGGCAGCATGGACTACGACTCGATCCGTCTCTTGATTTAGTCTCAGAAATGGGCCTACTGTTATCAGTTCGCAGCTGGTATTACCTAGCTTACGCATGGAGAGCAATAATAGTACCGGTTTATTGGCACACGCGCTAGCCTGATGGTATGTAAGGTCGGTTTTGGCCACAAATTTTCGTGGAAATAACCCGTATTTAGAAAAGACATTCTGTCCGATACTTTCAACACAATCGCGAGACGAGATGTTACGGTTTATGCAGGTGTGGTCGTAAAGACGATTGTTGCCTCCTATTGCTTGACTAACACCACATGCCTTCCCCTTGGATATCACTTACATTGCCCTTTGATCACACCTAAGAAGCGGTCACAGCCACTTGAAGGTCCAGGCAAGTGCACCCAATCGCAGTATGCACGAGTTGAGACAAACTCACTTTTAATGCAGTACATAATGCATTGACCATACATTTGCCCTTCACTAAGTTTGAACATGTAGCACGTGATGCCTGCTGTGGAATAAAGGCAGTCACCACTGTGCCAGTTAACTGTAATATCTTGCAAGAACGCGAAACAGAAACCAGCCAACCACATACCGTAATGGCTCCCAAAAAAGAAAACGAACCACCGTTGTATGCGCACGAGAAACGGACGCATAAGCAGTGCACACTACACAACTACTGGACACATGTAGAAACCCACGCCATTCAATCTCCAACCGGGATGACGGAGATGGGTGGATGTGTCGTTTGTCGGAACGGATGCACTTTGTATTAGCTATGGTTGCAGAATATGCACTTCCGCTTGCAAGTGGGGTTGTTGCTGCCTACCTGAGTTGACGATTTCCAGGCAACAGCTTAATCGTTTTTGGTGCCATATGTCTGACAAACGCTTGTGTATAGCTGGGTTAAATTATTTTCAGTAAGTCCCGTACTAAAGTCTATCTAGAGTCAACAGATCTGTTTTTCAGCATGGCTACAACTTACGAGGTGCGCACAAGGCTAGGTTAATCATTTTTCTCCACTGATATGGGGCACAAAGGTTATGAATGACTATATTCGTATTGATCCTTCTGCGTTGCAACTTCAGGCGTTTTGCCGAATGATAAATTTGCATCCGCCATTAGTCACAGTTTTCCACGGATCAGACATAAGTAATGTGCAAACGCTGCTGGAGAAATTCAAGTAGAGTGGGGTACGCATGCTCTTTCACTTCACAACGTTTAAGTCCAAACTCAGCGAAGTGGTACAATGATCCCACCCGTGCACACAAACATGGAACAACCACGCAGTTTGTCACTCAACCCTTCTAGCTGAGTAACGTCATCAACTTATAGGTAAATCACCGATTCGCTTACGGCGAGGATCAGAGTAGCCCATACAGCCGTAAACCAAATCACCAGCAGGGAATGTGCGTCTAATTTCTCAATCGAACTCGTTGAGTCAAGCTTTACAATGAGTCCACCACGTATGGAAGATTTTGAGGGTTTGACCACAATGTCCGTGAAGAATTATCCATATTTAGCAGAGGTCCAAACACTATATGACATCTACTAACAAAGACAATGGTATCTTAATGGATCCCATTTGAATTTTTTCCGAACAGTTCGACAAGGCGTAGGTCAACTTTTGAAGATTTGCTAGTTAGGTTTTCGCCAAGTCTCTAAATTATGTTTCAGACCTTCTGTCACCAGTTGAGGTGACAACATTAGTGCGCCACACGGAAAGTGCATTGATGATGCCACTATGGATGTGATCGAAACATTTGCAACAAAGCAGTTGAGGTTAACGACCAACCCGTTCACTAATTGAATAGCTTAATCTGCCAACATTTTCTTAAACATAAGGTGATTTATTGCTGTAAGAACCTTCTTGCAGCTATCAAGGAAAATTAGCTTCATACCACTAAGACCTCTTAACGTTACTCTTTTTTTCTCGGTTCTTTCAGGACTCTAACTAACGATTGCTCAAAATTCAGTCATTAGCTTGTTTTCTGGTCAGGAGTGACGGCAAGGGTTACCAAAAGGGTTACCACATGGAATACAGAGCTTCTCATCAGTCTTGCAGATGTGTTAGTTAGTCCGCTGCTCTCCCTTGTGGTTCAGTGATAATGCCGATTACATGTTGAACACACATGCATTGGAACTGCAAACTGTCCCAGTAGAATAAGCGCTACAGACGAGACCAACAAAGATGTACCAGTTGTACAATGAATACCAGTTGTTGGTGATAGTGTCACTGAATCCATCTGCGTTGAATTACTTGAAATAACGTGGTTAGAGCACCTTAATGGCATGATTGCCGACCGAGCATCCCGGCTTATTTTGATTGCCTTACCATTAGTAAGGTTAGATTCCATGATGTCTAGTCAATTTTATATAGCTCACGAATAACGAAATTATCTGCATATGTTAAACAAATCTTAAACATTTTCGTTTTTGGCATCATTCAAGGAGCCACTGCATAAATGTTTCAAATGTTTACCCAATAATAGTAATAATAATAATAATAATAATAAAGTGTTGGCCATACGTAGTAACGGCGCTTCGCAGCCGTGTCATCAGCACCAGTCGCGCGTGGGTTGAGTATACCGCGTGGGCATCTGTCCCTACGCGGATTCGAACCGGTGACTTTATGGCTCCATGCCAGGCCTGCAGACCACTCAGCCAACGGCCGACGAATTGTTACCTGACATCGGTCAGTACTGAAGCACTGTGAAATAACACTCAGTTAGCTGTTTGCTATCCTTAGTGCATTTAGATTATATTGTTGTATAGTCTATATTTCGTTTTATCTTTGTTAACTTGAGTGCGTTTATTATTCAGCAACCTGATTATTAGTACAGTGATGTGAAGTATGACAACTGCACTGTTCTCGGAAATTCGGTTACTTGCTGGTTAGCTCAAATGAGACCAATCGAACATTCAAATGTGTGGTACGGACTATCTATAAACTAAAAGTGCACCAGTCTTCGAGTACGTACTAAGTTCTGTCTCAACCAAGAGGGACTAATGGCAATCTATCCGACGGACGGTATGAGGACGCAATAAGTTACGGCTGAGCATGTTTTCCAAGCAATTGGCAGCCTTGACTAGTTGTTTGATGTATTTCTGTTAATGTAAACCTCAGGTAAATATTTAGTATCAATGCATACGCAAGCTGACTACGTAGATGGATGTTAATCTTAACATTTATGGATGAATTCTCTGAGCTTTTCTCAAGCTTTTCATTTGTGGTTCCACTCATTCCTAAGGGATCTTCCCTCATTTATGAGAAGAGTTGCCCCAGAAAATCATGTTAGATGAAATACTTTTAGCGAAACCATGGAAGAGGGATGTACCTAGCAAACAACGATTTAAGTCGGGTAAAAAGGCAGATGCTTGACAAGTCTCGAAGGATGATGGAGGTAAAACTATAATTATCAAACGATAGGTGAGTTGTCTGTTTGAGCGTTCATCTAGCGGATATGCTGCTCCATAAAAGTAGCATAAGTGGGAATTGAATGTGAAAG